ATCTGCAAATGAGGAACGTCCACGCAAAGAAAGGCCTTTTGGAAGCCTGCACCTTCAGTGATGGACAAACAGCGGCAACAGAGCTCACCCTACGCAGGGATGCTCGGACTTGGCTTGAGTAAGAGGCAAATGAAGCAAAATGTTTCTTAAGCTACCACTCAGATTTCCTCGGTATGAGCGACTCTATAAAAATAGCTCCACCAGCATCTCTAGCCACACAAGACAGGCAGTTTGATGCCGCCTATCGGCAGACGACATCTGCTCTCCTTGGACCTGGATGAGACTTGTGACTACTACAAGGACAATGTAGCAGACAGAAGGGACACTGCAGGGTTTCTAAGGCTAGTCACCAAAGGCAACAGAATTCTCTCTCAGGTCACCTGCCCAGGAACCCAGCTACCCTGTTGTAAAGAAGCAGAAAGTCACTTGGATACATTTAATTGAAATTGCAGTTCCCAGTTTGGGAGCACCATGGACTAGAGATTCTGTGCTTAGTCTGTACCCATGGACACTGGGGTTTGGGCCCTCAACTTCTACTGCTTTTTCTGGCTAAACATTTGGAGTGATCTGAGGCATGCAATGGCTTTAGCTGAGGCAAAAGTAAACCATCAGGGGCTGGGAAGATGACTCAGTGAGAGTGCTTGCTGCTCAAGAACAAGGACATGAGTGTGAATCCCTGACATACAATATCCCTGTGGCCACTAGGCCTGTACAAGTGCTGTGGGGTGGGGTGGAGGCAGGAGGCTCTCTGAGACTTGGTGGCTGCCAGCCTAGTGCTGGGTTCAACACGAGATCTAGTCTCTTGTTGAAATGAGGCTGAGTTACAAAATAGAATAGCGTATGTCCTCCTCTGGCCTCTGCATGTGGGTATCAGCACACACGTGTGCACATATACCATCCGCTCACATATACAGAGAAATATTAGAAAAATCGAAATTAGTAATCCATTACCACAAATATGGTTCTAAGATACATGTATACATACATATAAGAAAATCATAAGATACACATGTAAAGCCCCGGAATAAGTTGTAGGAATAATCAGACATATAACAACTGAAATTGGGAGTTATTTGAATAAAGAAATAGATGTGAAGATATCAAGTATGAGAGCATAACAGAGACTGTAACATTTGCAGCAGGAAACTCTAGGCATGATAAGCACATTAAAGGACAGAGTTGCATAAACACCATCCCCGCATGTATGTAAGATCTTAGGTGTAACCCCAATAATTATTAAGGAGACTTAAATGTAACGGCCAGCTATGGTGGTAACTGCATAGAGTCCCAGCTACACAGGAGCCAAAGGAGGGCAACAAGTTTGAGGCTGGCCTAGATAACACTGCAACACTGAAGGACTGGGGTGTAGGTCAGTGGTAGAATACGCCCTGGGCTCAATTCCAGCACAGAAACCAGAACCAAACAAGTCTCTTAACAGATATGAAAGAAGGCCAACATAAATGAGACATCATAAAATGAGAGCCGAAAAGGCTTTATGTTATAGATAGGGCCTTTTCTGACACCAAGGCAGTGAAATTCCAGTGGGGGAAAATGCCAGTAAAGTTTTTCCTTCAATATGACCAACTGAATTCTAAAATGTATTTAGAAGAAAGAAAGGTCAAAACAAGGAAGCATACCCAGAACAAGCAGAGGTCTGATCCTATTGGGTAACAGCGCTGTAAGTAATCTGGCTGCCGAGATGGCTTAGCAGTAAGCTGCTGAGTCTGGTGGCCTGCTTGGACCCTGGAATCCAGGTAAAAGTGGAAGGAGATAATCACCCCACAGGGTTGTCCTCTGGTGTGACGAATGCATACCCCCACTAACACATCATATATCGTGGTCCCTAGTATCCATATGGAGCATCACAATTAGTTGTCAGTAACTTCAGTTCTAGAGGCTCCAATGCCCTCTTCTGGTCTCCATGGAGACCACACACACAGTGATACACAAGACATATGTGCAGAGAAAACAACTGTACAAATAAAACTAAAAAAAAAAAAGGATCTTAGACTGACTATAAGAGGAATATGAAGAATGTGTGTGCACGGAACCCTCCTCCCCTCCAGTGCAGAGTCCCATATGAGCTAGAACACAATCTAGAGGGGAATTGTGAGCTTTCATGAGTCTAGTCTTCTATGTTTTGTTTTGTTTTCTTGAGACAGGGTTTCTTGATGTACTCCTGCTTGTCCTGGAACTCTCTATGTAAACCAGTCTGGCCTGAAACTCAGAAGTCAGCCTGCTCTGCCTCCCATGTGCTGACACTAAAGCTGTGCTATCACACCTTCTATTTTTTTTAAGATTTAATTTTATTTTCAATCATGTTTCTATGCGTGTCATGGGATAGCATGTATATGCGAATTTCAGGTGCATGTAGAGGCTGGAGAACTAGGCAGTTGGAAGCCTCCTGAAGCTTGCTGGGAACCAAGCCCCCTTAGCTGCTGAGCCATCTCTCCAGCTCACCTCTTTTTAAAGATTTCTTAAATAGCGGCTTGGGGCCAGACAGGCAGCTCAGAGGATAAGGGCACATGCTGCCAAGCTTGATGACCTCTGTTCAGTATCAGGGAGTGGTCTAGTGGAAGGAGAAAACCAACTCCTGCAAGTTGTCTGATGCTGACCACGTGTGGGCCATCACATAAGGTTCCTCACCCACAAGTAAGTGAATGTAATGGATTAAAAAAATCTGATGAACTAACGTTTCTTGAAATGTACCATCAACTTAGCTGTTTCACCAACTGACATGGCACACAAAGCAGCCAGGCAGCCCTGGTGTACTGGTTTACAGCAGCTAGGAGCCACAGGGCCTTACTACTTTCTTGTGAAATTCTTGGTGATTCAATGTCTATTTGTAAAATCTCATGGGATGGCTGAGGACAATTAACAGTCACCTTGGCCAGAATAAAATCCTTTTTCTTGTTTCTCCCTTCCCCTTGAACTAAGGATATAGTTGGGATAAGCTTGACTAAGTGCAAGACTTAACTGATTTATTTAGTATGGTCTAGAAGGATTATCCCTGTTCTTTATATAGTATTTTTTGAAGCCCAGATCAAAAGAAAAATGATTTGGAGCTTTCTTTAAGGAAACCTTCTGAAAAGAGAATCAATGCTTTTCAGTACCTCCCTGTCCACTGTGCTTTCATTACGTGGCTACAGTTTTCACTATACTGTTATAATTTTTTGGTTGTGAACTTAGCTTTTAGTGGCTGAGCCATCTCTCCAGCCCTTGCTATACTATATTAAACATTATTTCCTTGTTTTTTACTATACAGACCAATTTAAAATGGCAAGTTGGATTCAGAGGAAATAACTAAAGATAACAGTAAAAGGGCTGATTGCTAAATTAATGCTTATATCTCTTATCAGGAAAGGGTTTTGGGAGGCTGAATGCCAAACATGTTTGGGACCTCTGATTCAAACTTAATAACTGAAAAAAAAATGACAAATTGATTTTTGGTTCTATTTCTATACTATAATAGAAAATATTAAATATTAACATTAAAGGACACATTGTATCCATGCTATCTTGCAAACAAATACATGTTTGTGCATAGTTCAATGCTAATAATTACAATAAAAAACATAAATAAGACAAGGGGGTGGGAGAGAGGTCTCAGTAATTTAGAGCATTCCATGCTCTTCCAGAGGACCAGAGTTCAGTTCCTTGTACTCTTTTTTTTTTTTGATACAGGTTTTCTCTATCCTGGAACTCTGTGTAGAGCAGGCTGGCCTTGAACTCCGGGATCTGCCTTTCACCATCACTGCTCAGAAGGCTCCCAGCACGCCTATCGTAGTTCACAACTGGTTATAACTCCTGTTCCAGGGAATCCAACACTGTCTTCTAGTCTTTGTGGGTATCAGGCATGAATGTGCTGCCCATACATGTGTACAGGCAAAACACCCATACACACAAAATAAAATCTTAAAAAATAAAATAAAATAAAGAAGAGGGTACTCTTTCCTTGCTTGGAGCCTCTTCACTCTCAGATCTCTCACCTCTCCTTAATAAGTCTGCATTAACTTTGTTTAAAAACTAAGAATAACTCTCCCAAATTCAGCCAGCTGTATAAATCAGTCCTGATGAAAGTAATCTAGAATGAAGTCTAGCATATATATTAAGTAAATAAAAAGTGGTGCTAAGGGAAAAGAATGTGTAAAATGTGATTTCTGTGAAAAACCTGTTATTAAGAAATGAAGAACTGGAGCAACACAGAACCCACATGGGAAAAGAGGTCATGAGCAGTTTTGAAAATCAGCTTTATTGAGGTATAATTTGATATAGCATAAAAGTACAGTCATATTTAGGTATCACAGTTTTCTTGTTTATTTTTGTCTGTATCATGACGAGAGTCTTATTTTTTAAGAGTTTAAATGAAAGATGGGTGGAGCTGAAATTCTAAATTTATCTATAAATGCAGTGTCTGTCTTCGTCTGAAATAAAAAAAAAACCCAAAACAACAGACAACAAAAACCTTCCAATTTGACATATGCATCTTTGTACCACAAAATGGATTTGAAAGCAGCAGGAGGAACGTCTTTTGCTATTATTAGGACAGAAACTTGGTGGGTTGAACAGACATACAGCTCAGATTGTTTGGTGCAGGGCTATGTTTGATCTTTCTACAAATAGATGGTTCCTCAGGATAACAGGTCAGGCACAGGAGTTCACGCTTGTAATCCCAATACTGGGGAAGCTAGGCTTGCACGGACACCAAAACCCATCCAGTAGAACCGCAGTTCCCAAAGGAACATGAAGGCACTGAACGGAACCAACGATGAACAACTATTTTGCTCCTTAGTTTGGCTAGGGAAGAGTGGAATTCGCTCAGGGTTCCCCAGCCTCTCTGGGAAGTCGGCTCTTTCCCCAGCCTGTGATGAGCACAGAGAAAGGACCTTCGGTGTATTCACTTAGCTACCACCCACAGCAGAAAACCTTTCCGGAATAAGTCCATTGAGGTCGGTTAGCTCCCTAACCCGGCTCCCAGCGACCCACCTACGGTCTCCTACCTGAGCTGAAGCAGAGCAGGGACACCCGCTGCTCCAGGCGGGCCAAGCCTAGCACCGTGGGAGCGAAGAACATGGCCTCATCGTCCGGGTGCGCGATCACCAGAAGGGCCCGGCTTCCGGCTCCCGGCAGGCCCGCCTGCTCCGGAGACCTCACTCCCGCCGCCGAGTTCCAGACCCGGAGGAAGCCCCATGTCAGGACAGCCACAGCCGCACACAGGAGACCCACCGCGACCATGCCGGGTTAGTGAGACTGCGCCTGCGCCCGCGCAGCGAGGAAGGCTGCGGGCGGGTCCGGGCTCCTGCGGGAAAACCGAACCCGCCGAAACTGCGTTCCGCGGCGAAGCGCGCTGTGGCTCGAGACCGAGAGTTGCGGTCTAACGTGGAAACTTCCACCCAGTCTGCAGCGTCTCCCCCTCTATACCCGCGCGGCGAGATGCTCTACCTGCTCCAGCCTCAGGGCTAACCCGGACTCCGTGCGGTCTAGTATCTCTCCCACCGTTCGGTGTGCTCGAAAGGAAGCGTTTGAAAGTTATTTTGCGATGGCGTCTCTCTGCGTGTACCCCCGAACTCACTATATAGACCACTCTGGGCTCGAATGTGCAATGGTGCCCATCCCTTTGCCTCCCGGGCTGGGATTTCAGGCGCGTCAGCACGCCGCCTAAAACGGAAGCATTTTGAAACAAACCTTAACATTTGTTGGGAAGTTTCCCTCTCGCCTCAACTCGCTTTCTAACTCATTTAAATTTTTTTTTTTTTTTAATGACCCAGGACTTCGTTTGCACAGTTCGTTATCCGGATAAAAGTTTTCCGAAGCGGGTCACGCTTGGTTCTTTTCCTCAGATGGCGGCTTTGCTGGAGGAGAAGTAAGCGGCTAAGAGGAAACGTCACTTCACTAGGAGGGCGAGGCTGAGCCGCGGGCTGGAGGCCCTTCGCGTCTCCGAAGAGCTAGAGGTTAGGGAGCCGCGCCGCGGAGGAGGCCTGAGGCCGCCATGCCGGTGGAGCCCGGGTGTGACCCCCAACGCGAATCCCCGCCACGTGGGCTCGGCTTTCTCCCCGCGGCTCGGCGGCGCGCAGGGGTCGCCAGGTGGGCCTCGCGCCGGGCGCCTCGTCCTTTCCCACGCCCGAGGGGGAGGCCCCGGGGCGCGCGGGAGCGGCCGGCTGCGCGATGGCCGCCGCGGCGCCTCGGGCCCGAGGCGGCGCTGCCGGGGCGGGTCCGAGCGTGTGGGACAAGCCGAGAGGGACCGGCGCGGCTGCCGCGACCCAGGAAGCCAGGCCGAGGTGAGAGCGGCGCTCCGCCCGGGGAGGGAGCCGTCTCCCCAACCCTCCGGAAGGAGGAGGAGCCCGCGTCGGAGCCGCCTCGGCTCGGCCGCCCGGCCTGACGGGGGGAGGGAGAGGGGTTGAGGCAAGATGGCGGCTGAGGTGGCGAAGCTGCGGCGGCGGCCGGAGTGAGCGTCCAGCTCGCCGCGCCGAGCGAGGGCCGGCCGGAGGGCCGCGCGCCGGGGCCGCGCCCTGGTCGTCCGGCCGTGGGGAGCGCCGGCTCCCACTCTCCGCCAGCTCCGGGTGAGTAGGCCCGGAGCCTGCAGCCCCGGCCTCGGGGCCCTGCTCGCCCGGGAGCTTCCCAGGGCGCCAGCGCCGGAGGCGGCTTCTCGGCCGGGCCGGGGGCGGCGCGGACTACGCGGGGTTGGCCCCGGTGCGAGCCGCCGGGCTCTCCGTCTCCGCCACGCTGAGGCGAATCGGGCGCGGCGGGGAGTTGAGCCTGGGCGAGTGGAGGCTTTTGGAGTTTGGAGGAAGAATGGCCCCAGGCGGGCGGACGTCGGCCTGAGGTATCTGTCTTGCGGGGAGGGGGCGTGCGGTGCCTGCGGGGCTGGCGGGCAGGGGTCGCGGATGGAGGGCCCCGGGTGGGGCCGGCGCAGGTGACCCGCCTGGGCCCACTCCGAGGGAGAGTTGGTGGCTGACTGGCGAGTGTGGAAGGGGTTAAGGAGGGTGACAGTAAGGGACGTGTGTGTGTGTGTGTGTGTGTGTGTGTGTGTGTGTGTGTGTGTGTG